GTCAGGCTTGATTTTTAGTAATCTTTTCCTGTTAAACAAATCAAATCAAATCAAATCAATAAATGAAGGAAATTTTAAGCATCGAAAAATCCAACAGCTTGAATGTTCTGGAATGTAATCAAGCTCAGATCTGGTGAGTAAAGTTTTAAAAAGTGTTTTGTTTACATTGAGTGCATACCTGCATTTCAGGATTTCATAATAATATGTATGGAAAACTACTGGAGTATTTTCTTTCATAAAGTTGAACTATAACGAACTGTATAAACCTGAAAAACAATAATAACAGGTCTGTTAGCRTTTAGCTTAGCTCAGTCAAAGCTCTTGCTCTTTCTTCATGCTCTCTTCTTGTGGCTGACAGGAACTAACTTTTGATAACTATTTGATGCTACAAAAAAATAAAAATAAAAAAAGACCAAACTACCCCTTTAATTTTAAAATGTGGCTGCACTTCATGGTTTTCCAATATATGAAAGATAAAGTAATTTAAGCTTTTTGAAGTGTTTTTTAAACTTGTGCAACATTTGACAAAAAAATGAGGAGAATTTGATGAATTCTGTTGTTTCTGTGCGAGAAGCTGAGAATAGATACACAACTGATATTTTCACTTAGCTGAAAGTTTTTTTTGTGTGRGAGTGTGAAGGCAGCTGCTCATTTCTCAGCGAGGAAGGTTTTCTTTTTCTTTTCTTTTTTTTTTTTGAGAGTGTGACAAATTGGGGCCCTGGGCTCCAGGAAGCAACACCATCCGGCCTGCATTATTCATGAGGACTGGAAATGTCGAGCTGCGATGTCGACGCAGGCTGCAGCCAGAATGTCAAGCCGTCTGAGAGCAGGCCATCTCATCCATCTGAACCCTCYCTGATAAACAAGCAGCGAAGGCGACACAACACCAGCGCAGATAATGTCAGCGGCGCCGATAAAAACACGAGGGATKAGCTGTTCATAAAGAGGCGTTTTTAATAAATAAAAAAAAAGACAGCGTGAGATGAGTGATAGCAGCTTCATCAATTACAGTGAATTAATCAAATTTAATTCAGAGCATTTGGTCAAGTGTGGAGGTTTCATATCAAAATTGACAAAACCGCGCCCCCTTCTGGACTGAAAGTGCAACAAACAAATAAATCACGAGATTTAAAGCTCTYAAGTCAGGCAAAACACCAAGAAGCTCGATGTGTTAGCAAAATATCTAATGAATTGTATGGATTTTTGAATAAAGTCACATTATCAAGAACAAAAATGGTGACAATTCAGTCAGTTTTATAAAAGCTGAGCTGAGGTCGAACGTGGTAGTCGCTGAGAGTCGTCCTCAGATCTCGTGCAGATCATCKCACACACGTTTCGACCAAAACAGGGTTCCTGCAGCTTAAAGCAAGTTAAATTTAAGACTTTTTAATACCTCTTTAATGCCACTTGAAATGAAATTTAAGACCAAATTAGCCAAAACAGTGACACTGTTACCCAAATGTTTATTTTAACACAAACCAACTAGCTGCGAGAAGCATACAGTAAATTACTTTAAAATAAATAAAAAGTTTAAAACAATTTCCAAACATCTGAATGTTTTTTTAAGACCTTTTAAGGGTAATTAAGGCCTTAATTTTGGTTGATGAATTCAATGTCTTTTAAGGATTTGCAGGAACCCTGCATAAGGGCTATATGTTTTCACACTTAATAAAGAGGATCTTGTTACGCTGTAATATTAAAGGGGACATATCATGAAAAATCCACTTTTTTAGCTSTTAAATGGATTTTGTTGTGGACTTGGAGTCTCCAGGAGGCAGAAAAGTTGAATCTAGTCTCTCCCCACGCTGCGTAAAGCTCTGTCACACTTTAACGGTTTAAACAACTTTTGCCCACTTTGGAATTTCTTTAAAAATGACTACGTTGAAGATGGAATTATAAATATTAACTTAAAGTCTCTTTTAGGCATTTACACACTGTAGTGTTAACAAATCGATCACATACATAACTTTTATTAGTAATTTAAACATAAAAACAGATTCATAAGTTTGCATAAATTGTTTAAAACACATCTTTATGTTTAAAGTGTATCCCCTCCACTGTGAAAAGATAACTCCGCCCCGAGGCGAAATTTGAAAAATACGAAGTGGGTGGGTG